TAATTACAGATGGTATAAAATGTGAAGACACATTATACCAATTTAATGTTTTTAGTTCAATTATTAAATTAGTCTTCCACCGGTAATGAATATATCATTATTGAAAATGACAGCGATTGATCGATAGCCTTCGATATGGAAAAGTGATCGGACCCTATTTTTAGCAACCATCGCGTATTAATCCATCAAGGTATTTCCAGCAGTACCCGAGAATGGTTCACTTTTAGGAAAATATAATTCAATTTTCTCTCTCAATGTAATTAACGATTATAGTATACTAATCGAATATCTCTTGAGAAAATGAGTTTGATCTTTCTTTATTCACGCAAAGAGCTTTTTGAAACTTCTCGAATTGTTTTAATTTTATTAATGGAAATAGAACGGAAAGACGTATGCATGGGAGAACGTTTCAAACATATTCTTCGTACGGAAAACAAAATGTAACAAAACTTTCACTTACGCTCCGAAACATACGTTAATAATTAGTCGATGACGGTTTGGAAGTGAAAACTTGAAACTTGTGGCAATAATATTTTGTGGGCTAGAGACTGTCCATGAGTTAAGTACTAAAGCTTTTGAAATGAAGGAATATGAAAGCTAGTGATGGTATATCATACTTTCTCGCAATACTTGTGACGGCTTCGAAATCTACTACTGCACGAACCTGCAAAAGGGTTTCAAACCAATTTTGGTTCCCTTCTTGTCCCCATCCAATCTCCTGCCGTTCTCTTTAGAGTTAAGCCGCACAGTCCCTCTGCTGTACTCCCTTGGGCTGATTCTTAAAAATATAATTGTCTCCATTATTTTCAACCAGCAATTTTCAAAAATTTACAGAATTAAACAAAAAGTAGTCCTGGGCCATTATTTAAGTGTCCCTTGTTTTATTCGTGGAAAAAGTCAAATAAAATATTTGGAGCGGTTTGTAAGAAAATATTTTTCATTTATTGCATTAATTTCTAGCGGAAATTATTCAGAAAATACTTGTTTTTTTCCCAAAAAAATGAACATAACTATTTTAAAATATCTTACATTTTAAAACAAATTTTTCTTAAAAAAAACTATCTGCATTTTTTGCAATTTTCGGAAATACCGAGTGATTGACGGAAATTAGACAAGCACCAACTTTATACAGTTCTTAGATACACACGAGAAGAAAATTTAAAGAAAAATTTTGAATGGTTTTTGAAAAAGAAAATTGTTTAAAATTTGCAAAAATTTCACTTAAATTAATTGAAAACTACTTATTTTTGAAAAATGGTGCACGACGGTATTTCGTTATCTTTAAAATACAAACTTTATTAAGGAAAAATCTCTAGCATCAATATTGCATTTCAAGGAAGTCGCCGAAAAAAATTGAACTCTTGAAATTTTCTAAAAGTCGGGATTTTTACAAAAATGAGACCTGCACCGTTCGTTTAAGCGTCATTTACAGTAAAGGAGAACCAAGGTTAATAAAAATATTTGGAGCCACTTTCGAGAAAATTTTGAAATGATTTTTGTGATTTCATGTAAAGTACCTCCAAAATTGAAGTATCTGTTTCAAACTCGCAGAAGTAATAACTTCCTACTGTAAAACTTGCTTAATTAGGAACGTCTATGATGCGAAAATCTGTCCAATATGGACAGTAATACGGTGTTATATTGTTTAATGCGGATTCTGTCCAACGTGGAAACGGATATCTTATGTATTTTGTCAAAAAGTAAGTTTTTAAAGCAAAATCGTGCACCATATTTCGGTTATTGTCCTCGTTCATTGTTGTACAGCTTGCAGGCGCCCGGCGTGCGAGCTCAGGTAAGGGTGAAGGGTATAGGTGTTGTGGTGCGTTATCGTTGGCATTTTTCATGAAATAATTATAGACGTTGTCATTGCCAACAATAGTTGCCATTGCCATTGCCAACACCAGGGATTTCTGGAATTTTCCTTGTTCATTTTTGGACTGTTTCAAGAAAAAGATATTGACGTGTTGGGTTTTGTTGAAAAGGGCAGAGGAGATCATCGTCACTGGAAGAGGGGAAAACGTTCGTCAATAGGAATTGAGGAGGCGAAGGGTGAAGAGGGCTAAATCGCATGTGTCGTTCTCGCTAAACGAAAAAACAAAAATATATGAAGCTAAAAAATGAGACAATCTGTCAGAGCGGGAAATAATGTCAAAGTTCAAAAGTGACAAAATGCAAATTCATAATACACTGAATAGGAGACGAGGAGAGAATATTGAGATAGTGAATGCAAGGAAATGGTAAAATGAAGAGAACAGCGAAAAAAAACCGGCCATGAAGAAGTAAACGAAATAGTTTGGGAGTGAAAGGTAAAAAATATGCCTATTTCGAGACCAGTTTTTTTAAGGCATCTTCAGGTTGGTTAGAGACTTCAGAAAAGATTGTGTGGAACGAAATTTGTGAGAAATCTAGTGAAGTAAATGAATGGAAACCAAAAATGGTTCACATGATTTTGTGTTTTGAACGCAAAAATATTTTTAATGCATATTAAACGGGTATTACCATCAAAATCACGAGTTGTTGAAGGTGAAAAGTGTGCCGGTGGAAAACTATAGAGAGAGCCTGACAGTACTGCTGGATGGCAATATAGCAGGATATGTTGAAAACCTTTTAGTAATCGGAAAATCGGTGAAGCCAAGATGTTTGAAAATCTAAACATGGAGTAACACCAGTAAAGCGTGGATGACAATTGAAATAACTTATGAAGACTGTCTTAAAGATATTGAATAGAAAAATGAAAAAATAAAATAGACATGTGATGTTATTTCAGAACAACGCCACATGTCATCTAAAGATGTCTCATTCGAACCTAAAAGTCGCCTGGTTTCCACCTAATTCGAGAGTATACTGCAACCCAAAGACATGGACGTTAATTACAATTTTAAAAGCACTACAGACGTATGATAACGCAATCTTTGGTTGCAAAGATAGAACTCCGAGAACATGTATTCTTTGGCGAGATCTTTTCGGTCTTGGATGATGCAAATTGGACATGACTAGAAATAGTGAAAATAAAGACATTATCTTCAAATGCTTTCGAAAATTGATTTTTGGGATAGATGATGGATGTGTCGTAATGAAGGAAGTACATGAAAGCATTACGGCAATACCAGCAATTTGTAAGGCTAATAACCATGTAGGCGTCACTGCAAAACATTAGTTGAAAGTGGTAAAAGCCAACGCATTATAATTTTGAATCGTCTGCTGATTTACTGGCAGTGCAGAATACAGAGAAAGAAGAAAGTGAAGTGGGCGAAATGGAGAGAGCGAAAGAAGGAAAGGAAGCTTAAGTGGAAACTACAGCCTAAATTATGCACACATGGACAAGTTATACAATGAATAAGTTATGACATGTATTTTCCTGTGAACACACGCAACACACAACCCTAGTTTTCTGCAGTTACTGTACATGTTAAATAATGTATTGAGAGTGATTTCGCCAAAAAATTCAAACTACATTATTAGACACGTGGAGAAAGAAGTAATAGGAGGAGATTTTTACATACAAGTACTGTAAGATGTGTATTTTCAATTAGTTTTGTAATATAGTAAAACTTGCTCAATGCAGAACTTCAAGGGACCAGTATTTTTTTGGTATTAGAGAAGTTACCACATTATGCAATGCAGTAGAACTTGTTGGGACTATTATTCATGTTCACATGCGAAATTTCCGCATTATGCACGTTCCGCATTGTGCAAGATTTACTGTAGTATGTACACCATTCACAATAAACCAACAGTACAAATGTATCAACATGGTGTGAGAGTTAGCTGTCTTCTCCAAGGTGAGTAAATAGAGAATATATTTTATACGGCATGTATTTTTGAGTTGTATTCTTAGACAAAGTTTGCTTCTCTATATAATGCGGAATCTTGTCTAATACAGAAAACAAATGTGATCTCTTGAATTTACTCATTGGACAAGTATTACTGTATAGTTTATAAGAACAAAGTTTATTCACTTTTTCGTTACCAAGGCCCAGCAATAAGAGATTTCCTATCGAAAATTCGCAGTTTTTCGTCGCACGATTACAATCCTTTCTCTTATGAACAGCGGGGAAGTAAAACGAAGTAAAAGTGGATACAGATTTGATGTCCTCGTACAGTGTTGCGAAAACTAGCAACACAGCAACTGGTTATAGTTATGAAGTTCAGAATATCAACAATTATCTCTGCATTTTGTCCCGGTCGGCAAACGTTACTGTTACATGCACTTTCTATGTAGACAACTCTCGAACACACGACCATTTTACTGAACACGTGGAAACTAAGGAGTGACGGCTCCGGTTCTAATGTAAGATGGTGAGATGGCTTCTCGATAGTAGAACTAGAAATAACAAGAGATTGTAATATTTCCTTCAATGATCCATCAAACGTATAATAGTTTTGAACGACTTACATAATTTTATACATTGTGTGAGTGCAGGACTTGGTCTTAAATTATGTTCATTTAATTTCGCGAACGTCTTGAATTATGACATTCTTAGTAGTTTTTAACGTAAGATAATTTAGCATTTTACTCAACTAAGTGAATAATATAATACTATGATTGGCTTGTACAGTTATTGATGAATAAAAATATATAAATGAAGTTGCCAACTTGAGGATACTAGGCGCCGGCTGCTCAAATCGGTAGTTTTACGTGGTTTTTCCGATCAACCCCAGGTGAATGCCGGACCCATACCCTAACAGAGTTACAAACGGTTGAGGTCCAAACTCATGACGCTAGCGTATGAGAACCGGGAAGGGCGAAGCGACCACCAGAATCAGGAAACGGAAACTACGAAGAGCGCAACATGTGCGCTGCTAAAATGCGCTGAGCAATCTGAACGCCCTATCGCTCGCGTTTTCCTTCTTCCTCGCGGGGAAATGGGGAGGACGGGCTATCCTCGACGTGGGAGAGGGAATCCCGATCTGAAAATGACAACCGCTTTGTTTCTTCCTCGTGACATCGGGTGGAGCGGCAAGAGGCGCATTGCACCATAGTTCGGGAGAGGACCAAGATGGTCTTCCGAGGGATCCAGCTGCTGCGTATATCGTCCGCCTACGAGGTCCTGCTGCCCAAGTTTTCGGTGCCTGTGGTCGCCAGGAGTCGGTCGCTCGCCCAGTAAGCTAAATACAAATTAAGGTGTTGTAATGCATCAAAACATTGTATGGCACAACTCAGTTGAGTCGCTTTCTTCTGTTTCTAAGCCCTTCCTCCAACCCCTTTCTTTTGCCAGAATGTGCCACATGAAAATGTACTCGCTTGGTTATTGCATGTGATAAAGTCAATTTGACGGAATGTTGGGCCGATCGATATTCTGATTACAAATTAAATGAATTAATATTAACATTTTTAGAACAGTTTTCATTAGATTTTGTGTCTGGAAGGCAGATGCAAAGTTAGAAATGGATGACAAATAGACAATGACAATGAGTAATCTGGGCGTAAAAAAATACCTGTCAAGTACTTCTTATCTTAAAAGACAAAGTTTATATAAAGGCGCGGAGCAGTAACGAGAGAAGCCGCACTAGTCGCAGCAAGTCTGGCGATATTCGTAATTATTAATATTTTGATTTTGTTGACAGTGTTGCTTGTCTTGTTACTCTTATTTATAAAAATGAAAGATTTGGGGGCTGCAAGAAGCTGAGTTATGGATACATATTTACAAATACGTGTGGCTTATCTTGTTACCATTCTTTATTTTTTCAAGAATCTTCATAGTACACTGGAACAGTATCAAATAAAAAAATAAAGAACAGTCACATTGTAATTGGAGTGTAATGTACTTCTTGACGTTATTCACTGTTAAATGTGTTAATGATGGAGATTGAGATTTGGCTCTGATATGTAAGATATGACAAATATTAGCTTTTTTGTGAGTAGTATATATTTTCGAGTTGAAGCAAAATTCTTTGCAAAATAAATTTAAGAACTTTACTATAAATTACACAAGAAATAGGGCAGAAACTAAAGAACAATAATGCGATGAAGTTACAAAAATATACTTGGAGCAAAATTTCACCTTTTTTTCATTATGACCATCTGTGTTTTCTGAGAAAATTGTATTTTGGGAAATGCTCTCGATAGCCTTTACGAGCGTCGCCTATTCTCAGGTACGCATGTGAAGAGCTGGGAGGAGGCGAGGACCTGAGCAAAGCTGCCCGCGCCAATTCGAACTGCGCGCCGCAGGGGGACGGGGCGTTGACCAATTCCGGCCCCGCGTGGCCTTGGAAAGTCAAATGACCCATAAAATTAGCTAAGGTAACTTAGCTCGGATACCTTACGTGTACTGCGACATTTAAAGCTCCGTCTACTTAAAGGTGGTTTCCTCACATATTCAATTTGTGATCGATGTTTGCCAGCCAAATTATTTTGTTCTCATCACGGTCATATTTGCGTCTTGCCGACTTTCGAGACTTCGTTCTCGCTACAACTTTTTATAGTACTTATGATTTTTATACGTTTGTGAACAGCAGGCTTTGATGTTTCACAATACTCAATTAAATGTCGAAATAATAAGTATAATGTATATAAATTTACCTTGAATATATTTATATTTGGATTGATATTTTTCCTATATTAATATTAGTTTTTCTTTTTACCACAAAAACCCTATTCCATTGCCACAATAAACAGTGATATTCTAACAGTGTGCACAATTTTTTCTAATTACAATTCTATACATCAAAGGTTCAATGAAGGTATAATTGAATGTCCTTAATGTTGACTTTTAAAATTGTTTCTACACTCCAGATCCACGAATATTCATTGGATGCACTGCCTACAGATGCGCAGAGATAAAGCTTTCTACTTGTCACGCCAGTCACGTCGGATTAAAAATCCTTGAAAATAAAGTAGATTGAGAACGCTGCTGTAGCCGAATATTTTGAAGGTAGAGCCCGCCGCCATTGTAGTGGAAACGTGTGCACCTCGTGGATTTGTACAGTTGTTTCGGCTGCGATAGGAGCGAGTCAGTTGTTTAGAATAGACGTAGGTTCCTCGCAATATGTGTATTCATTCACTGGAAGAAAATACACTTGAAATATAATGGTAAAGTGTTGTGACCACAGAACTGCATTAAGTTTATATCAGTTCACAGTTTATATGAGTTCATAGTTTGACTCTTCCTAAGGACATATTAAGACAATATCTTGGCAAGATTGACGTTTCTTAATCGACAATTTATTTGCAATGTTAAAGTCTGAAAGGCCTGTACATTAAATAAAAAAATAAATTTATTTTCATTGATATTGTTTTTTCGTTATACCCTCCATTTTGAAGTATTTTTAAAAAGTTAGAAGAATGTTATTTTTGATAATATAAATAATAATATTAGATAATGGTTAGGTGTGATAGCTGTTCAGTTCTATCAAGATTTCTACAATAGCATAAAAGTTGCATTGAATATCAATTGAAGCCAATCTCTTTACACAATGGTAATGATGAAAAGCAGTAGAAATGCAGTGTCAGATTTAAAACCCGTGCGTAAATCATTCACTACATTGGCGCCCACCGATCTTTTCAATTTATACGCCTCCCCCCGCCCTGAAAATTTTCAAAAGATTTCCGTAGACTTCAGTAATGCAAACATTTTCTTTTGGTGAACATGAAAAGCTCTTACCCTCCATTTTTTAAGCTGACACTTCGGGGAATTGATACAGGACATTTTGGGGAAGACGCTCTCCAAACTATTTGCCCCTGCATATGCTAGTGCATAAAATTAATTGTAATTATTAATTGTATTATTAAAGTTGTAATGAATTTTCCTCGTGGTATGTTTTATTTATTTACTACTACTATTGCAACATATATTTAATTAAAAAGTTCACATGAAGGAGGGGCTAACAGGGGTACAAAAGTATGTTTATCCTACCTTCTTTTTTTAGGCTGTGCGTGTACCGTGACACCGTTTAATGAAATAATACGATTTTTCCAAACAATGCCGTCCAATGAATACAACCATATAATTTTCCTCTTACATCCCTGATTGCACTTAAAGCACCACGTGACGGAGAATTTTGCAATGAATATAATGCCCATATGTAGGCTACTGAGCTTGTTGCTTCGTCTCTCTCGCTCTTCGTCTCTCTCGCTCTTCGTCTCTCTCGCCGCTCTCGTCCGCGCCGTTTCCTCGTTTTGCGCTTCGCTGGGTGCGCCCAAGTCCGAGAAGTGCCACCGAGATCGCAGCATGTTCTCGGGCGACTATCGTGCGGTAGTATCGCGGGGCGCGCCGGCAGCTGCAGCCAGCGACGTCTGGTGCACATCCGGGACCAGTACTGCAGCTTGAGCTGTGGCTGCAGTAGATAAATGCCACTTGATCTCTGTGGTGCAGAGATAAAATGCACTTGCCGCAGGACGTCTCGGCAGGAAGACGTGGAGAATCTGAATCAATTATTTTGTGATAATAGTGCAAAGATAGTGAAATAAATGTTTTTCCAAGTATTCAAGCACAGCCTAAAACACGAGAGGAGACTACTAAATTTCTGAATCCCTTTGCCATTGAACTTTTGTCATTTATATATGGAATGTTTATAAGTAAATGAATAAAACATTCAAGGAGAATGAAATTATAACTTTAAAGATACAATTAATAAATACATTTGATTTTTGTATTGAACCATTTTCTAAAGTTACCGGATAGCTTGCTCAGACTCGCATTCAAACGTCGTAAAATCATTTTCCAAATTGTCAGGTTAAATAAGAAAATTGCGTACGGTTTCGGGAGCGAATCCTCCTGCGCCCCTTATGCGTACGTATGCAAGTAGCTTTGAAACTGTAACAAATTAACTACTGAAATTGAAGGGACCGAGATAGACTTGTTAAAGTTTAATAAATAATAATGAAAATAAGTTTACACGGGAGATTTACGATGCGACCTAACAAGATATTTATAGGAGATACAAAGAAATCTCTAGAACACAAACTTCAAATGTGATAAGAGTTCGAAAAGTCAAGGTCTCTATCATTCCATGTGCAACATATGGCGAAAGCTGGTTGAAGGTAATTTCTGCGTATACTGACTTGCTTTTAATTTCATTAATCTCATTCATATTATCTTTGCCATATACACATTACGTTGCTTTTGGCTTCTAATTAAAACAAAAACGTTAATATAAGAAATCATCTAAACCTATCGATGGGCCAAATTAAACATTTTTACAGTGACGTAAATATAAGAAAATCATGATTTTTTTTGGGGGGGGGGAATAACAAAAGGAATGATAACGTATATAATTATGATTGATAAAGAAAATTAATCGTAAACTAACCAAATTTGGAAACAACGTTTAGGTAAGGGGGCGAGAAAGACGTTTCTTTAAAGGAGACCATCCACTCGAATACAGCAAATGTAAATTCGTTAGGAGTGTGTCGCTTTAGTAAGCGTTTGGAGCTTCAGACCCACACACGATACTGCTTCACAATATTAACCAGGTAGGCATTTTTAAAGTGTTTAAACTAAAAGCTACCGGTGATGCCGTCTTGACTAATGGCGATAGCAGGGGGTTCCACCCAACGCAGACGGAGGTTAGAGTTAACGAACTGTCTTAAGCCAGCCTATATTGAAAAAATGTTCATCTTCTGCACTAGCTGAAATCCCAGACCGCCATTCCTAAAAATTCCAGAAAGCCACAAATACCAGTAACTTGTCAAAAACTGAGGATTGATTAAATATCGCAATGTGTGAATAAAATAAAATATTTTGTTTAGAGTTGAAATAACATACCAAAGTGCATACGTAATCCTCAAAAATATTATAATTTAATGGTTAAATATTATAATGTCGTTATAGTTACTACAATGCATAAGCTCGGAAACTTTTTTTATTAACCGAAATTTGTTCTTAAATGATGGTTTCTGTTGCATCGTTATAAGCCTGTGAGCCAATGTCCATTGGTTTATTTAATATCAGAATTCTTCGTGAACTACCATAGGAAAAATATATCGATGCTAGTTTTATGACATGTTATTGAATATTTTCTATATAGTATAATTCCATACGAGGCAATTCACTCTTTCCCTTTAAAATATTATGACATTAATAGCTAGAATCAAATATGAAACGTGATTTGGAAATGTTCAATCTGCAGAGATTGTGTTCATGGCAAAATACAGTCAAATTAAAGGAAGGCTTTGTTCGACACTGAGTCTGAATTTAAAGGAAGATGGATGCAAGGGCGCTTGATGCAACGACCACCAGGTCAATTGAGCCGTCTGGAGATAATGGGCCTGTCCTAATAAGCTAATAGGTACAAATGAAGACCTTGGCCTAGTGCTTAGAATGACTTAACTGACCTACTTCTCTTAGAATAGAGGATGTCCAGAATGTGTCTTTTTTGATTGAACTATGTAAATTATCTGAATTAGTGCAAAACGATGAGATCTTCATTGATGGTTTTCTGTACACAAATTCGGTTGGAGGAGTTCGGTTGGAGTCGGTTGGAGCTGTAAAGGGCAGATAACGACTAGCTTTATTGTCCAATAAATTTCTATTAACTGAAACACTTCATGTTGTCTTCGGTGAAATTTATAAGTACCTTACATATACCTTAAGTACTTTATATATACTTTAATTTCTTTCAAATCTACTCTTGTTGATATTATTCTTTGGTTATTTGACTCGTCGTAGGGGCAGGGAGGGGGTATGTGTGCAAGTTAATGTGTGTACACCGTCAAGGCGTGTTAAAAATTTGCTAGTAGGTAAGACATGTATGCTATTCTCATTTAAAGAAATATTTTTCCTGATTATATATAAAAACTTTTGGTAAACGTAAACAGTAGCGTTGGTTGACCTCGGAGGAGATATTTTCAATTTGCAACCGGCCACGGACCTCCGTAATAGGATGTAAATAGATGTAAAATCATGTAAATGGATGAATGTTTACAATATTGTAGATATAACCGCCCATAAAAGCACGGAATAAAAACAACTAGAAGAAATGTGTGTTGAATGTAAGTGTTCTGAGGATTTAAGAAAAAAATAAAGTAAGTAAAAAATAAAGTAATAAATAAGGTTGGTTGGAAATGTGTGATCCGTTTCGCCGATGCGGTCGCTTTGCTCGTGCGGGGAGAGAGATTTGACGCAATCCTTTAATCGCCGCGTCACCTCCGGCCCTTCAGCCTCTCCTTGGATCTGCTGCAGGAGGCTGAATCGGTCGCACGACCCGCGTTGTAATCAGCCCTCGACGCCGCAGCCGCACCTACCACGTGCGGGCGGAGGAATTGGGTCACAAGCCAGGGCCCGGCCCCTGGCAACTCGCTCGTGCGACGAACCCCATGCAACGGTGACGCTCGAACGTCAGCTGCCTTTGGCTCCAGGGCTAAGTAAACAAAGATACGAAACAAAGAAACAAAAAAAAATCACGCAAATAAAGATACGAAAGAGGTGGGCCAAATTTCTCCGTCTAGACCGTAAAAGTAAGTACCTAATGCCAGCGCAATACGTAAATACTAATTAAAACTTAAGTTTTAGCAACGCTGGGAACTGAAACTTCTATCGAACCTACTGCGCAAATGTATGGATTTGAAAAACTATACCTTTTGGAGTCGTCCCGACTAGCGTGGACGATATCAAAGTTACTTCATTACAAAGTGAGTTGATAAGGAAGGACATTTAAATATGAGGCGAGTGTGCACAAATAATAGTTTATGGATAAAGGTCGAAATGAGGTTTTTGGACGAGGTTATTAAACGAGTCGAAATAGATACAAGTTTTGGATGAGATTTCATACAACGTGTTTTTGTAGTTTAACCTTTGAAAGTGGCCCTTGTCGTGATATCATAAAACGAGTATAAAACGTTTCATTCTGCCGTCAAATTTAACACACTATTTTCACGTAAATGCTGGTATCGCATAACAGTTATTTTCATGTTCATTGGTAACCAGAACTCGTTAGTAATCTTAAAGTATTGATCCGTGTTCTGTGTATTATACTGCTCATCACGTCTGCGTATTTTTACTGAAGGAAGAAACTGTTTTAAAGACCTTATCCGAGTTCCCCAACTTTACGGGCGACGTAACAGTACAGGAGAAGCTGCTTTGACGGACGAGTTTAACAAAATATATGTAGCGTGCACATCGGACATGAAGTGAGGTTTTTGAGCTCAGAGCATTATCAACTTGGGTTCCGTTACATGTCTTCTCGATTGCAAAACCACCTCGATCGCAAAAGTGCCACTCCGCGACCTTGATACATAAACTCCCATTAAGAGCTCTGCAATCGAAACACGCACGTTTCTCGAAGTTAATGATGGGAGGATGCATACGCCGCTGCCAAGCGATGCGACGTGCTTTGCAGTCGGCGCAGCAACTTAACGCCTAAGGCCACCAACACACGACAGAAATAACGATGCTTACGATTTCACTCCACTAAACTCCGGAACAAACTGATTGGAGTTTGGAGAATCAAGGTTCTCGGACCACACGTAAGCTTTATTATATTCTACGTACATGGAGTTTGATATTTTTGAGCATTACTAATGTAAAGGATGCCTTACCCGTTTTTGATACTCAAAGAGAGTCGCTGAATCCTTTGCGCGATGATATTTCTTGGCATCAAACAATTCGTCGTAGAGTTGTGTTTATTGATAAATCATACGCAAATTAAATGTTTAACTATTCCAGGTAAATCGTTATAGTTTTATTCAAATTCCATATTTTGAAAAATCAGTTCTCAGAACTCTCATATAAATAACAGGAAAAATCAATGGCATGTGAATGAAAGTGCCTCAATTATAGAGTGTTGTAATGAACTGTGTATTATTAAGCAGCTAACTAAAATAATAGTTTGTTGTTTTTTCTTTTCACCTAACAGCACACGAGTATTGAGCCGTGATTAACATGTTTTTAAAACCTCGTTTTCTTTAATTGAAGGGCTTGGAGCGGTCAGAAGATACGTCACACCAGTCACACCAAGATTTCGTTAATATAATATCCAGATTTTGGTGAAAGTGTCTCATATTGTTACTACCTTAAGCCCTTCAAAATGTGAAGAAGACACACAACAAAATACTCAAAAATCTCACTCTCTCCGAAATCGAGACATCAACAATTACAAATAGTGGGAGGCTTGCTGTGGGAGGTGTGACGTATCATGAGACTGTTCTGAGCCTTTCATAATATTTCCGAATGCACCTACTGACTTTTATTTTCGTAGTTTTGTAGTGTTCTAAAAGTAATAATTAGTAACTATTGTTGGTATTAAATCTATTATTTAGTATACCCTTTATCAAAAAGGCGCTCTTATCACATTAATATGTACAAGAGTGTACACAGCAAGCAAGGGTTCAGAAGCAAAGTAAGTACACTCACACTTACACTAATACATTGTAGAATTTATTTATATCGCTTATATTTTTTAGCGCGAGTGTCGATTTGTAGGGTAGGCCGAAGTCCCTTGGCCAAGGCACCTGTGACTTCCGCTCGGCTGGGCGAGCTGTCGCGGGCGCATGCTCAGGCGCCGGCACGGGCGGCGGGGGCGATCGAAGCCCGGGGCGCACGTGTCGCCCGCGAGAGGGGGTCGTCGGCCGGCCAAGTGGGCACGCACCGCACGTGTCGCCCCTCCCCCACCTCCCGCACCCTCAGGCCACACTCTCTCCCCATCTGTAGAGCACGAATTTTCTGCATACACTAGGTTTACTGGAGGAAGCTGCTCTTGCCTGTTGTTCTCACCAGAATCTGACATTTAGTGCTGGCGATGGAAAAATACAGATGAATCATATCGAAAGTTTTCTAAAATTTTAGCTGGGAACAGCAAAAGGGATGAATATGCCTAATACACATTTCAAGCCTTTTTTTCATTTTAGTGTGAATTTATTTATTTACTTACTGTTTTAAGACTCAGCGGTTAGTAAAAGAAGAAATTTTACGATGTTTTTAAGCGCTTAAAATATTGTGGAAACGTAAGTATTAATTTCTAATGTATATGATTATCAATTATCATTGTAGATGTAAATAGTTCACTAATATAAATAGTTCACTGGATTGGTCAATATGGGTAAAGAAACGATTAGTTATGCCAACGAAATATTTAATTTCTTCATCAGGGCTAGAGTACAAAGACAAATCAGCAATGCATGAGGACGAGAAACAAACTTAAATAAATTAATTAATTAACACTTCACAAACAAAACGTTATAAACTAAGACTAAAACACCAAAATATGGAAAGAGAACATTAAGGTCGCGCTTCATTTCCAGCCACCAAACACAACTCCACATGGAGTTGCTAAAGCACGTGGGTTAATTGCGCGACACGTATGAATCGGGCCACCGCTCGAACCGCAAATGAATGAGAATTGGTTGAAATGAATGAATACACGTTACAGCCACTCCTTGCCACGCTACCATGTGTTTCCGGTCTGGTACATGTTGATTTAACAATATAAGCAGACAACAACATTCTGTGGTTTATCATGCAAATGTATCAAAACTATATGTATTAACCAAATTATTTATTGTTATTACTATTATTGTTTATCAAAAGTTAAGAGAAATTAAAAATAATATAACATGGCGCACTTTCTGGTTAAATTTTGAACTAATTTTATTATCAATCATTATAATTTTCTCATGTTTGAATCTTCACCACACGATTTTTGTTTGAATATGTACAGATGAAATCGTAATGCCACCTATTTTCTGAAAGAATAGTTGATTGCATGGATGTACAAAAGTAATACAACTACCACTTATGGCGACCGACGATGCGATTCTTGTTGAAAATAAATTGGATATTGCTGTCTTTTGTTTACTTTATTCTTATTTCAGCTACATATGTGTACTTTCTAAATGTGCACCGTAATGCTCTGGGAATGCAGGAAGACATAATTTTTCCGCCTGCTGAAGACTTTGAAACTTCCGAAGTGCCGGAAGTGTAGGATGACTGTGCGTGCCCAGGACTCGAACGCAGTGCCTCGGAGGGCGTTGACATTCAGAACAGCCCTCTGTACGTCGCCGCGTAGAAACTGCCGCTCGCTTGGGCTTCGCTCACTGCAGCCACGCACACGCACACTCACGCACACGCACACTCACGCACACACGCCACCGCCTCCGCCCAATGCGCAGATGTTTGTTGTTAGACGGTCGAAATTACATCAATCACAAGTGTTTGAGATGAGTTTTTTCGGTTCAGTGAAAAAATCCATTGCCTCAGCAGCGTCGCTGACTAGAAGATTCCAGGGTTCGGGGCCGGATGGTGGCGAATTTTCGACACTGAATATGCAGCTGGGTCAAATTCAACCAGTGATAGGAGGAGAATTCTAACGGCCGGCTGCTTCGTCGGTCCGTTGTTTTTCGAGGTTTCTCCGATCTATCAGTAACAAGCAATACCGGAAAAAGTACCCTAACAAAAGGGATACAAACTGTGCGATCTTTCCTTTCAAGACCTTGTCCCCTCCTCCTATTATTCTCACACCCTTACATTTACTTGTACTTAGATTCAATCTACCACGCTTATTGGGAGCTTAGAGCTTATCCCGGCTAGGGCGATGTCCAAGTGGAGGGTGATACTAGGGGGGGGGGGCAGGGCGAACCTGTATCGCGGCGCGATCTCGCCGTAGCAGCTTGGCGCCACTTCCTGGAATGTCCGCTTTCACCCACTTACGGTCAACAAACCCGACCTACCAAATTTGACGCGACCGAGATAATACTTATTCAATTCTTACAAATAGTAAAACTGGGAATGCCACCCTTGCCACAACAAAGGCTACCGGCTCTGAAGTTGTCTATGCAGAAGACACCACTGCTTGCTTCGGCTCGAGTCGAAAAACCCTCTTTCAATAAACAATTACTAATCTTCGTTCAATCGCTTGTATTTCTTCACGTCACTTTCATGAAAGAGAAAAACCAACCTCACATTTCCTTAAAACTGCGTGTCCGCTAGGTGTCTGCCGCGGTCGCCACAGGCACCTCCGGGGCTTCCGCGCTCCTCGCAGACGACGCGCCGAGGTTAGGCGGTGCAGCGCACGTCTCCTGTTACTCGGAGGCAGTTGCGGCTGCGGGGCCCCGCCTGTCGTTGGCTAGCCTCGACTCGACCACGTCGAATGGAACACGTTCAGCACCGAGCGCGGGCTCATTGGGAATGAAACGCCGCCCGAAGGGAAGCCGTGGAGCGAATGCTAGAAGGAAGTCCTTTGCTCAGTCGCGAATAATTTGACGGCGCCGTCGTATTTATAGTTTACCCAAGTTCATAGTACACCTCAGTTGTTTATAATGTGTACACTTATTTTATTGCTGATTGATGTCTGATATTTTAATTCAAGTATTCTATAAATAGTTTCTTAAGAAAATGGTAACAAACTTATAGAAAATCAAATTTTTTCGTACTTCATTATTTCTTCTTTAATGTTAAAGATTTTCAATTTTAACTGAACTTCAGGCGAGGCATGTCAAGGATGCGGTCAAGGTAATAAGCTTAGAGTTGGCGAGCAGTGCGTCCGCAGCAACCGACGCGAAGTTTAAAATTGAGGGTTGCACGAATTGCTCCGGAGTGGCGGGTACATAAATGGACACTTGATCCAGTGTCAGTTGACAATCATTGCTCCAAATTTTGCTATAATAATAACAACTTCCTCTTCTAAAGCAAAGAAATAATCCTATAAAATGAGATAGTACGACAGTTAGAATTGAAAATTTTAATTACGAGTAAAATGCAATATTTTGAATAGAAAATGTCGTGGTTTTGTGGTCGGGTAAAAGAGAGCAATATTTGCATTTATTTCTGCATTCAGGTTAGGTGGTTTAACGGGCAAAGATTCTTATTTGTTAAATTGCTGAATATTTTTAACGTGAATCATATTTCGTTGCTGAGAATTTCTCGGGCGTTTATTAGCTACGGCCATTCTTACGTAGATTAGATTTAGAAAATCTGCGGAAGATTTGCGCAATTTGATTTTCTGGATCACGTTTCAAAAAAATGTGTAATTGCTGTGGATCTGTTGACCGATCTTACTAACAAATAATAAATATGACATCCTTATGATGCATACAATACAATCATGTGCAACAAACACGTTCTTTGTAAAAGTGATGAGAATATTTAATTTTCATAAATAAATAAATTTTACAATTTTGTTACCAAAATAGGAATATTTGTTCGTTTGTTTTTTAATTTACAAATCACAACTGAATTGTAATAAAACATTTTTGAATGGCGAATGAAATAGTGTTCTCTCCCTGGGAACTTGATACGAAGGCAGGCAGAACACCCCCACCACTAAAATGAATAGCGATCTCGCTGCCTTCATGGTAGTCCTGAACAATGGCATAGATCCTTTCTGCAAACCCAGAGGAGGATGTCCAACGTCAAAACGTTCTCCGGCCCATGAGGCTGCGCCGACGTTCTCGAAGGTCTTGCGAGGTGTGCGGTGTCCTTGAAAATTTATCTTAAACCTAATATCAGGCTTACTGAAATAGTGGAATTTTGAAATGTTATGTCACGAGTACCTTGAAAATTTTCCGAGAATCCCCAAAGCACGATTGGTATTTATTGCGTCCATTTCCAGAATAAACACAATAGTAAACTTGAGTAAGTGTAAACATATTCGTCTTACGTAACTTTAACAACCAGCAGTTAGGTTACCTGAGTTAAGGAAGTAGATTTGTTTGATTGCAAAACAAACAAGAATGGAAGTCCTCATGTTAACAGCAATAAAAGAAAACACACATTTTTCCGATAAACTTTCGGAATTTGGTGAGAGATAAGTCAATGTTTATTGTCCTTTGGTCTACTACCACAAAAGTGGGATAGTGAAGAAGATTTTGGAGATTATAACACAAACACATTACGTCCTCTCAGCTGCTGATGGAAACTTGCCGCTCGGCAGATGCCAATATGAAGTGTATTTTCTGTTATCTAATCCCGAGAATTTACAGAAAATTTCGTACGTTTTCTCTTCCGAACATTAATGGAAAAACGAGAGTGCGGCCTCATACTTTGCCCGCAGGCCTGTCTGCCTGTTCAACCACAGGCGCCCTGTCTCCTATTCGTCCGCGCCTTCTGAGCGCCGAGTACTTACTGAGCGCTGTGTAATCGTGGAGGAAGCCGACAAACAACAGTGTGTTCGATAGGGCTTATATCTAATCGCGTCCATATCTCCATTCACTTTATTCTGGTTTCACGCGAACCTGGGGACAGCGTGCTTTTTCCACTGAACCACAGAAAGTGTTTACCACATGTATAATTGCTTATTTATTTGCAATATGTTTTCCGTATTATTTCCTGAATGACTTTATACCGAGTGAACGCAACAAAACAGAGGAAGGAAAAGCCACTCTTACGGCCGGCATCCGATAAATATATTTGTTCTTCTCCATTTAAGATGAATCGAAACAAATGAATTTGTAGCAAACAATGGAGGATGAGTACTCCCACTTCACGAAATGATGTTTAAGTGTGTGTGGGTTATTATATAAAACGGTAGTATTATGAAAAGTATTCAATCAAACAAGGTCGTAACACTAGTAACGGAGTTGGTTATAGTCGTAAACCTTAGGCTAAATGCCTTGAGTTACTAACTTCAAGAGTGTCGGTTATTTGCTCCATACAAGCCTAATTATGTTAATAACTAAACACCCTTACATTACATACATGTGCTTAGTGTTGTTTCTTTAGCTTTGAAGCTCCGATTGTTCTCTATAAAAGTACGATTCTATTTACATACATTACCTTCTCATATATAAATGAATACATCATTCCAAATTTACATCATTAATTCTTTGCAAAGAATATGGTTATATTTATCCTTAATCGCACATGAAATTCAATATTCAATTGCTTTTATTTTGTACAAGAAAATTCTGCAGCGCCGCCACGGTGAATGTGGCAGCTGCCGCTCCTTGTCACACGAATTACGGTCGTCGTGTTTCTCTTGTGCACCGAAGGCGCGAGATTATGCATGCGGCGGACGCCCGTCGCGACTGATGGATAATTTCCATTCTCCATTTCGCTCCTCCTCCTCCTCGCCAACCGACTTGGCGACTCGAGAGTATGATGGGGGTCATGGCGGGGTCCCTGTGGAACGCCAGGCCCCCGGCGGCGTCTGCGGTGGATGCGGAAGCCGTTAACCGGCCAGCGCGCCGGTTGCCAGGGGCCGGCAGCCCGAGAATTAAGGACCAGCAGGGGTGGATCGATTATAATTAGTCGATTAATCAAAAAGAATCGATTTTTCTTATATGACCAGTTTATTAGAGATTACATTAAGGTTTTGGAAGAAATTGACTTGTTTTATATGCATTTTAATGCCGGTACGTGCAATTATTGTACACCGCTAAATAATTTTGCGAGCTTAGAATAATAAACTGCTTGAGAATATTAAAAATATATTCTGATCAGCACTGTGGGAATGTGTTTTTACGATAATTTATTTCTATACAACCTTTTTTCAGAGTTGCTCAGAACTAAAAAGAAATAGTTATGACGGTACTTGTGCTTTCTGAGACTGTGGTGGTGATGATGATGGTGAAAAAACTGCTACGATGAAGACGACGTTGACTTTGGCGTTGAAGATGACGTCCAGGGAGGTACGAGTGACGTTACTGACGCGATTCAAATCGTAAGTCAGAGGTATTCAAATTCTCCCAGCTGTGCTACGCCAGCGCTGGATCGAAGATTATTTTTCTAATGTGTCGGCCATAATAGCGACGCCTTACACAGAACTAAAATGCTCATTCCCGTGAGATGGTGAGCAAAACAGCCTACGACGCGGCATCACGCGGAAAGCCTAGAGCATACTGTAAAACACGAATTACGATACTCTTTCTTTTAACAAACAATTTCGGAATTTTACCAAATAAGCGCATGCGCAATCTGGCTTGAGGATCCCAAGGAGCGCCACTGCGCATGCGGGCGTTCGCGAAAATTCCGCAGTCGATCGTCAAAAGGAAGCATCTAAATCGGATCTAAGGGATGAAAGAAGAGTGGCAATATGACCACTTCTCCCCTTCAGTAGAGGCGATGGAGGCACGTCTTCGGCGACGACGGTGGGGAGTGGGTGGGTGTACGGGTGGGCGACAGCGGCGGTGGTCACGGCGGCAGAGGCGGCGACCGTGCCTCCTCGGAGACAGCCCGCCGGACCACTTCAATTTGGCCCCCTGTAATTTAAAGGACTTAAATTTCACCTTGATCAGAATTGCAAATTGAACATTATTGAGCTGCCATGTGGTAGCGGGCATACTAAATAACAGCGCTTAAAAACATGTAATACGCGACCGGCGTCTAGCGATGCGTACGGCATAAGTCATGCAAATGAATTACAATGTATATATAAGATTTTCGGATAAATATGTCAGCGGAATGAAATAACAAGATGATGATAGGGAATTTATGCGGCGCTGGCTTTGCTAGGCGCCGAGGGTTGTGAGCAAGGCGGTTCCGGGGAGGAATTCGCTGGCATCCGTTTTATGCGGTTGGCGTGTCATCTAATATCCCTTTTGAGGTTCCTTCTTTGCCGAAAATGTTTTAAAAAGCTGAAACCCAAATACCATTGCTATCTGCTGCTTCTTCATATTTATGCGTGACTACTGTCTTTTGGTTAGAGATTCTTTTGCACAAGTATTGTAACTTATAAGTTGATGAGTGGGTATGTAAATGAATGTATGTGCCAAGTGGCATGTGGTAAGGCAAATGATGCAAGAGCGTATGTAATGTGTGTTCCATGTATGTATCTGACAGCACAAATACGTGAGTGAACTTGTATATTTTGTACAGAATGTCACGTAAAGATTGTGCACAACAAAATATTATGCAATCTTTAATAACTGTGAGTTATCTTCAGAACATTTTGCATTTCAATGTCTGTTCCAGAAGCGACCTTAACTATGAAGATTGATGTACTAGAATCGTTATTGATGAATATTCAATACACTAGACTTGTGTAATATCCGAAGCACCAAGAATCTGATATTTCTATTTTCACGTATTGATACATAAAAAGGAAGACAAACGTATTTTACAATTCATTTCAAGATAAATTTCTCATCTGTGTAGAGAAATTTAAGAATCGGCAAATTCAACCCAGTATGTGGAGGAGTTTTTTAATCATAGGACGAGATTTGCATAATGTCAGTAAAACATACTCCAAAATTTATACTACATACTATATATTAGTGACAAAATTAGAAGAAAATAGTTTGTTGTTACGAACATTTAGGTTAGAGACAACAAAACAGCAGCAGTAGATTATATGGATTTTCCGACCACTGGAATTTACTGTTAGTAGAGTGCAAGAGTAAAGTGCATAATTAGTTCTCATAGACAATTGTCAATAATGTCGTGACAGTTTTTGAGCAGTGGAATTACATTTCGTGAATTTGTCACTTCGTAGAAAAACTGGAAAAATATGATCAATCCCATATCAACCTAAGTAAGAGTGCGGGGATGTAATAAGTAACTACCAAAATATTTTCATCGGCAAATTTCAGCCAGAATCTCAGACGACACGAACATCGAAATCTGCGCTGAAGAAGAAAAACGTTCAAAAGATACGCTGCATTTCTCTGCTAAAGCAAATAATAATATAAGAGGAGATAGAAATTGACTGGTTAACAAAAGAATAATGTTGCTGCGTAAAAAACTGCTGATTAGCTGTATTAGCGCTTCGTTGTTTCTCGCGCTTCCTGTTCCCTCGGTCCCCTCCTCTTCTTGCATCGTTCTCCTCTTCTAGCATCGTTCTTACCCATCCGACCCGCCCAGTCCACCTCGTCCCTCTTTGCCTTGTTCTGCGTTGCCTCGTCCCTTGTGTCCAGCGCCCCGTCCTGGCCCGTTGCACCCCCCCCCCTGGAATCCCGACCCCTTATCTGAACATCTCCTCGCTGCTTCTCGGAAACTATCCGTCACCCGCCTCACACTTGAATAGTGGAATTACCGATTGTGTATAGCCGTGAATGAAGTCATTAAGGCGTGTAAAACTACAAGTCACCTAGTTTTTTCTCGGCTTCTTTTTTTTTCCGTTCCCAGCGCCGCCTCCGACGCTATCGCGTGCGTTTAGAATAACATTAAGGATATTGATTTATGTATTCTATTAAAACTTTCTTATTAGGTGATGTGGCGAGAATGCGTCTGATATGTAATTTATTACGCGCCGGGTCGGTGCGGGTCCACGATTGGTAAAATTTATGATACTGCGTATTCATCTCCAAGTCAGCGCTGGCTCCGGAACTCGGATTTTCTCACGCGGCCGCCGCGAGCAGCACCGGCGCCCAGGGACAGCGTGTGCGTGTGGGTGCGTGCGCGTGTGTGTGCGTGCGCGTGCGTCTTCTTATTCCTTCGCGCCTTATTTATGGTGGTCTTCCGTGATCACCGGCCATTGAAGCGAGCAGCGAGACGCGGCTGCGGAGGCTGTGAGGTGGAGCCGTATACTTCGGTGTCCCCTCGGGAGGGTCGGTAGATTGTGTTCTGCCGACCAGACGTAGCTGCGCGGAGCGTCTTTTTTTCGTGATTCACTGCGACGTTGCGCATGCCTGTGTAATAGAAGATTGCCGCTGACACTGTCAAAGAAGCCCAACGAGAAGTTGAATGGGAGGTTCCGGGACCATGTCACAACTTCACGGTGGGAACTTACTCGTATCGCGATCTCTTAACAAAGTAAACATAGATTTTGAACTGTGTGAACACTTTTCGTTGTTTAGTTTAATGCAAGTTGTTCTCGTTATCTATGAAAATCTGAGGAAACTTCCTGAGCACGTTTTGAAGACAAATATGTCGATAATGAAACCATAGGCGATAGCTCGAATAACTCATGTCATTCATTTTTTCTTCAAAACAAACATATAAACTTTGGGGAATATTCAATAACTACATGAAATATTGTTTGATACATCAGTATTTACGTGTCTTACGATTCCATATTCAAATTTTAATAAGCTGTTGCTGTCGTAAAAGAGATTTCACTCAATAATGTGAAAATACTATCATTTTGCTATGTTGAAATATCACACTTATTTGAATGTGAAAGATGAAATTAAAAATTCATGTATTGAAACACAAATTTCCAAAGTGCTTCTGCTAATTATTCTTAATATTTCAGGCATTTTTGCTAGTTAGCCTCGTCCATCATGGCACGATTGAACTACTGCTATCAATTATTTATCATTATTCTTATTGTTATGAGTAATCATATAATAATTATTTGTATTAATATTATTGTTATTGTTGTTATTATTGAACACTATTACACATAGGACCTTCTTCACAAGAACAAAACTTTCACAAAGCATTCGGGAAACTCATTTGCGAGCGTTCGGCGGGAGACGACGAGTGTTGTTTCCTCCAATGGCCTGGGTCGGGCGGGCCGTCATAAAGTTCCTCGCAGCACCCATATATCTGCCCAAGATCAAAGCATTTTCTGTCGCAATCCCGCACTTCGATTGCCCAGTTTATTACCGGCATTATTCAGCGGGCACTGACGCAACGCCGAGACCCGTCCTGCTCGGCGGAAGGGTCCACCTGATGCTCCCTGCAAAGCGGTGGCGGATTGCGCAATGGGCGCCGCGCCGGTGCACATGACGCGGCGGCCGCCGCCGCCGCCGCGACGCCGCACAATGTGCCTGAATGGCGGAAGAGTGGACAAAACCTCGAAAATAATAATAATAATAATAATAATAATAATAATAATAATAATAATAATAATAATAATGTTTATTTTGGGAAAATCTGTGTTTCTTGAGGATGGCATGGTATATTCTGTAAATGGTATCATTGCCTAATCCGTGCGCCTACTGTTCGCAGAAGCAATGTGCAGTTGGGCATTGGGCGTGCGCGATCGGTGCACGATGAGTGTATGAGGGGGGGTCTGGGTAGTGGAGTCTGAGGAGCAAACTTGATTTCGCGTTTTAAAAAAATAATGGACTGGGAAATTTTTGCTGATTTATTTTTCAATAATAGAAAAAAACGTAAAAAAGTATGCTTCCTTTCTGGTAAAGTGTCAAACATTTCACATTAATTGTAATGTAGGTTTTGCAATCTTGCATGAAATGAAATAAAGTACAAGTTTAAACCGGCTTATACTTTTGAATAATACCACGAAATGCCTTAAATATCCATATCAACTTTTACGTTAATTATTGCCTTTTAAATAAAAAACTTAAGATGTGGTAGCTGCAAATTAGTATTTTCAGTTGTTGTTTTTTTTTAACAATCAGTATTTTTATCAGAAGTTTTTAAGGACATACATAAGGGATTGCACGGAATGAACTAGTTAATTTTATAAAGTAATATTTTCCTAATAATAAAATAATTTCTCTATAAAAATGATTCCTAAAATATTTTCTCAACGTGATAGAAGTCTACTTTCCCGATACATAGACAGCTTTACTTATTCGGTCGTAACGCTTGATCCGTCGCGTACTTTTTCGTAAGTTTAATATAAGATTTTAATTAAAGTATATTTAATATCGGAGAGCTTGCTGTGAAGACCCTATTGTACGACTTAATAAGACATACATGTATTGTTCAAAATACACGAATCTTTCGTGATTCTCCTCCTCCTACGTTGCAATTTACATTAATGAGACGGGTTTTTGACTAGCTACATAGCGGAGTCTCACGGTATCGGGAGAAGAATTTTAGCGGCCATCTGCTCTGAGTCATTTTTCGTCGTTTCTCCTACCAATAGCAGGCGAATGTCTAAGCAGTACCCTAAATAAACGGGTCACCGGCCGCGTGCGATCTTTTCTTCATTTTCCTTTCCTTCCTCTCCCCTTACACACACACACACACACACACACACTTACATGCCCTACACTACATTACATGTCGGAAGATCAGTCGGGAACTTACAGCTTACCCCCGCTGGGGATGAGCCCCGATAAGAGAGACACCTGGAAGGAAACCCCACATCCCTAAGGACCTGTAGGTTGGCGCCAGATTTACCATCAATCGAGGAAGAATATCGCTACGACCAGCTATAAAACGTTTATTACACTAACGAAAATGACTGTAGCAGTTAACGTTCCCGGACATATCAACCAATCAATAAATCAATCAATAGGGCCCATTTTAGGGGTCACAATCTAATTGACAGACGAAACCGATTCGAGGTACCGAACTGATATTATCGACCTCAATAATTAAATCGGAATTTAATTTTCATTTTGACCGCTTCTTCGTCATTTGGTCCCAAAGTGCGCCGCCTGGAGACGAATGCTATTCACTGCGCAGTCGCTGTGCAGACGAGGGGCGGTGAGCGTGCTACGAAAGCGGCGGCGCCCGATTCAATGGCCGCTTCCTCTCACGAGAAGAAAAAAAAATAATGCGCGCAGGTTCTCTGCGTTCGTTTTGCGTTGCCTCACCTATGTGTACTCGCGTTCGTAGTTAGTGTTGTGGAACGCACTTTCTGTTGCGAGTCCAAATGTACAGATGTTACTGAAAATTACGCAATGCATGAATGATAATTGCGTCACCATTTACACAAAAAGCAAGATCTAATGTCTAATTACTGTCGCAATTACGTCGCAAGTGTCGCATTACTGTCGGCTTAGGAACAAAAAATACCCAAAATAGATACAATGAAAACTAATTACTTTATTTTGTTATTTCATTTGTAATAAATTCTGACGCGAACATTTTTTTTCGATTATTACCTATAAATACGAATAAACGTTAAATCGTCATGTAAAATAAGCTCGTAGAATAACTTTTTGTTTCTTTCTGTACTTAATATTGACATTTGTATCTTTATCTACTGCAGAATCGATGAATTAAATTGCTATGTAAGTGGAAATGTTATCAGGAGAATACGTTTCCGGGTAGTATGAAGATGCTTTTGATTTTCTTCAACCGATGTCGACAGTCTGATCTTGCATGTTATCTTCTTTGCACACGCTTTTGTGGCCTACATTGAATACGCAACATATATCCTAAACGTGTTTTGGAAATGCCATTACTTTAAGAAAATATACATAGTTTTATTCTTCAGTTTTCCTGACGGTTCATTTGAACCTTTCCTAATCACGAATGTTTAGTTCGTTGTTTTTTCCCACGTTTTACAAAAATCTTAAAAAAATCCACAAGGTCATTTATTTTGAAGGGCAATGAATCGTTTTGTAGTATTATGACGGGCAGATATTGAATAAATGCGCTAAATTATGACAAATGTGACAATTGATATATAGAGGCAACCCATTTACCAGCGTTTGGCAGACTGACTCGGAAAACTGGTTCACGGGCCAATGCGTGTTGAAATTTTGAAATAGGTCGACCAGCACAACATCCTTTCTAATTTCTGCTTGAGATGACCTCTTAATACCCCTTGTTATAGTTCTGAACACTTTACTTAGCATATAAAGAAAATGACTTACAGCTAGGGAGGGTTAGACGTAATCCAATTACCACTTTTAATTAATAATGTCGCTCCTGAACGCTTTTTACAGTACTGGCTTCTGCAATACTTCATTCGTTAATCCAGTTAATCATTTATATCACCTATTTACAACAAACTAAAATAATTCATTTTCTCATTTATGATATATCAGTGGTCTTAATTTTTTCAAAGAAAATAAGCCTCTATTAAATGTAAACATGAAAAAAATAAAAATATAACTACTATTCGAACATGAAGCCCTATCGACCACAATGTGAATCCGTGAAGTTTTTTACGCGACATGGCATAGTTGCGAAAGAAAATTAAATCTTTACGTATGAAAATAAGTTGTCATCAATATACTAACAGAAACTATTTTCTTGTAAAAATAGCAACTGTCCAGTAAGAATTATAATTAAGGACTTTCAAGCGTAACAACCTCGTCATGCTTTCATGGTCTAGTGTTTTCAGTTATGCAATCTGGAAAATGGAAATAAGAGAACATTTTTTTTCGAGACCTGGATCACTTTTTTCAAATTAATGATGTAATAAGTATTACAGTGTCATTGGCTTTGACTTGTTAAAAAGATAAATCTGTGCTCTCTTGTTATTTTTGGCAGTACATCACTTACGTGGCAGTAGGAAATATTATTTAACACAACAAAAACCAGCCGATGGTTCTCGAAAAAATCTGGATATTTGCATTTTTAGACTGTGAATAATAAAGTTGAATATCCGTAATCAAAAACTGAATCAATTATTACAAATACTGTTTAGTGATATTGGAATAAACTTGACTTGTAAAATATATTTTGTGCACAATTGTAGATAATGAACCAAAGAGACTGATAAACTGTGATAAAGACTGATGACTGTAATAAAGATATTGAAGACCGCATATTATTGTAAACATTTTTGTAGACCTTTTTGTTAACCAAGAAATATTGCTGTACAGCCTTAGGCACAGAAATAATGTTGGATGTACAGTAAGCACTTG